ATTACTTGATGTATATGTTGGTAGCTGTAGGAAAAAAGGGTCTTCTACAGTGGTCTTTCCTGCACAAAACTCTGTTATTTTCTTTTGAATAATGTGTGTGTATATATATATATATATATATTTATATATGTATGTACCCCACCTCTCGCCCATTGACTGCTGTAGAGCACCCCTCGCGACCCCAATTGGGACAAGCGTTTAAGATAGAATAGAATAGAATAGAATAGAATTCAACTTTATTGTCATTGCACTGTCACAAGTACAAGCAACGAAATGCAGTTAGCATGGGTGGAGATATTTATATATATATATATATATATATATATATATATATATATATATATATATATATATATATATATATATATATATATATATATAAATTCTCATGGCCACTCATCATGGCTGCACAGGAGCAGGCCCTAAGCACCAGAGCAATAGAGGCCCAGATCTACAAAACCAGACAAGACCCCAGGTGGAGACTGTGCAAAGAGGCCGCTGATACAATCCAGCACATAACTGCAGGGTGTAAGATGCTGGCAGGGAAAGCTTACATGGAGCGCTATAACTAAGTGGCTGGAATAGTAAACAGGAACATCTGTGAAGAGTATGAGATGGAAACCCATACGGTTTCCAGCCCATATAGTAGAGAATGACCAAGCCAAGATCCTGTGGGATCCTGTGGGATCTTGGCTTGGTCAGTATCTTGGATCTTTTAAGATCCAGATACTGACGGACCGAATGGTAATGGCAAATCAACCGGACATTGTGGTGGTGGACAAAAAGCTGAGGAAAGCCGTTGTGGTTGACATAGCAATACCAAGTGACTGCAACATCAGGAAAAAGGAACATCAGAAACATGAGAAATACCAGGGGCTCCGAGAAGAGCTGGAGAAAACATGGAACGTTTCTCCATACTACAATTGGTGTCTGCCTTGTCTGAAGGACAGTGAGTTTGTCAATGCAGGTGTATGATGGCATCTTCAATGCCATGCCGTTGGGTCCTCGTCATTGGGTCCTGAAAGCTTCTTGTTTGATTGCTCATGTGTGCCAACAGGAGTTTTTCTGAAGTCCTGTTAGACCTTGACGATGTATATAGCGTATGCCTTACATACCAAAAATCTGGTAAAAATGCTGGCATACATTAGATAAGTTATGGGTCAGTTTTGTAAGTTATGCGCATGCTGAAGGACACTGAAACACATGTTGACATATGGCAAATATGTCGAGAAATATTGAGCACGCTCAAAATTTCTTGACGTATACCAGCATATGCTTACACGTGGGCCATAAGTTACAGGTAAGTTATTTGGTTGTTGACATACTTTATTTGTAAGTTACTCATAAGTCGTGGTGTCTTGCTTAACCAAAACCTATGAGTAACTTGTGCAAAACTTATGCGTAACTTATGAGTAACTTATCTCCAATGCATATAAATGCATAACGCTTTGATGTGTTACAACCGTTGAACGTGTTTCTAACTTACAGCTACTGTGATGTCATATTGGCAGCATTTTGGTATAAAATGGGGTGTGGAAATCGTCTGTACTCCAGGCTTCATGATGAGCAGACGTTCCACAATAGATGGAGGATTCTTTTTCATTTGGTGGCCGTTAAACAGCAACTAGGTTAATACCGCAATCAAAGAAATCTTTCTATGCAGGCTGGGCACATGGCTTCCCCTCTCAGGACACTGGCTTGTCATATTTCATGGGCATTACACTGCTGTGCATTATATATAATTTAGGCTGTCTTTGGAAATAAGTTCTGGACTCGTAATGAATACTCTATGTATACACCCAAAATTGAAAAAATACATAGAAAGCTCAGCGTATGCCAGTTTTTTAGAAGATTCTGGGAAGTCAGGCATACGCTGGCTAAATCGTCAGGGTGTGAGAGGGGCTTAAGGTAGGCTTCCTTAATTCTGACCCTTGAGATCCAGTGCCCTGCCCATTTTAAATGTGTCTGTGCTTCCACACCTGAATCAAATAGCTGAATTACCTCCTCAGCATGCAGCCAAGTTTTCCAGATTTCTCCTAATGATCTGATTATTTGACTCAGGTGTGTAGCAGGGACATCTCAAAGGTAGAGGACAGCAGCTCAGATGACCATAATTTAGGAAGTGTGCCCTTGGACCTTCATGATGTGGGATGTCAGGGCAACAGGTCAATTGTCACTGGCATGCAGTAATTGACACTAAACCAATTCTTTGGCGGGGTTTTGTCTGTTTTTCTGAACAATCAGCTTTTTTGTTTTGTTTTTTTTTTTTTTGCAGACCTCTCTAGCCCACACAATTTGACCTGCATGATGTAGTTCAGGTTGAACAAGGGTTTCAGCATGACTTTATGATTTGCTTTTCTTCCTCTTTTCACAGCTTTCTGTGCCATGCCATGTATTTTGCAGATTTAAACAGCATGGAAAATATAAGGGGTTGGATGTAGGTGACATCAAATAGTCGACCTTTAGGGTATTATAAGTTATTTTAAGCAAAGGTACAAAAGTATATTTACCCCTGGCATATTAGGGTTTTGGGTAATATTTTAATGCTAATAGCATCTATCCTCTAACAGGAAGTCAGTACATTTTTGTAGTCGTGGAGTCAGAATTATACTATAACCTTTGTAGAATAAACTAAAGACCAGGGATTTTCATGAAAATTCCAAGACTATTATCCAATCAGCATTAAAGGATTTGTTGCTATAATGGTAGAAAATATTTTAAACTAAACATTGAGAAGTTTATATATTAGTTAATGTTATTTTGAAATAAATCTAATTAATCTAATAATCTAATCTAATTAACTAGAGAATCTTTTTTTTTCTTACTGCTTAAATTGCTTCATTATCACTTCAGGGATGTCAGCTTCTTTTCCCCTGCAGACATTTCACTGGATGTTAAGAAGCATAGTCTCTGTTTTGGAACCTCAAGTGGCCATTTAAGGAACTGCACTTAATTCCATGTTGACACTATTTAGAAAGGGGTTTTCCTGTGCATAGAATTTCAAAAAGCTATCATTCTATATTCAACCTTTTTGGAAATGCTGTGCCCCGAGCTTGGTCAGTGAAAGTTTGGTAATTTATTAATTAATGCCACTAGGCTTGAAAACAATCTTAATCAATAAAAAGAAAGATGTAGTCCTGCGAAAATACATCTTCCACAGAACTATAACATTGTTTTTATTTTCTTTCATTTTAATTAATTAATGAATGATAATGTTATTGGAAGACATGCATGTTAGGATTGTAAATCATTAGGTTTTTAAGAGTTTTTAAAACTTGTGTGAGGTAGTCTCATCTTTAAGATTCATGAAACTGCAGGTAAATCTAGACTGCACTTCTTTTCTTTTTTTCCACAGTCGTACGTGGTGAATTCCACTGCTAGCGTAACAGATCCTCTTTGTTTTCAACCTTTATAAAGTTAGAACAACATTCCTGGCATTCAAGCAGCATCCTCAGTGACTTCATGAAAGCATTTCAGACGCCTTTGCTTGATTGACTTTCCGATGTACACATCCTGTCCACCTTCAGAGGCCATTTTCCCTTTCCTCATCCCTACAGAGCAGAGTCATGATCAGAGCTGTCCTTGGAGAAAAGTCAGGATATGTGGTGTTATGTTGGCTAAGCTTTTGCTGGAAATACGTGTGTTTGTGTGAGAGAAAGATGAGGAAGGTGAGAGGCAGAGGAAGAGCAGCTGGTCATTTTGGCCTCAAAGGAGTTGTTGGAACAACACAGGAGAACTGCTGCTGCTGCTGCAGGGTGTCCTGTATCCTGTTGTGTCTACATTATTCAGCGTCCTCGTTGTGATTTATTATTAGAAAGCATTTCCCTTGTTGATTCCTTTTAAGGTAGTTGTTCACAGTTGCCAATATTGTCAGTGCAGGGAATAAAAAAAAAAAAAAGTAAATAATGAGATTTAGGGAAAAAAAAGTTCAAATTGATACCATGAAAGAATAAACATCAAACTATATGACTAGTAAAATCTTAAATATCTTTGTTTTAAAAACTTTATAGAGATCTTTTCAAATGCGTAAAAGTTGGAGCATTTACAACAGCGCAAAATATCTGTGCTTTAAACATAGTTGAAATACAAAGATCATGAAAAAAGGAATTAAAAGGTTTTGCCTCAGTAAACCTTATGTTATAATTCTGTCTCTGTTTAAAGGCAGAAGGAGCCATATTGAATCAATGCAATAGGCTTTACTCTGTGAAGATGGAAAGTCTTCCCCGAACTGTGATATTTCCTCGTAATTCTTAATTCTCTGAATCTCCTATTCTTCTATTTCCAATCAATGTCACAATGTACTGAAAATACACAAGTACCAGTGACAAATTTCTTTTGACATCAGATCTTGAAGCAATGGACTGTTAGGGAAAAAGATATAGATATTTCAAAGTTTATTGCCTGGCCTGTTGTAACTGGCTCTAAAAGCAGAATGCTTAACCCTCAAGAGAGAATTAAGAAGGAAGTCTTCTGAGCTAAGAAAAAAATACTTTTCAAAATGTTTGTTACATCATTATTCAATACATTATTACCAGTGCATCTCAGCAACGTACTTTAGCTGCATATGGCACACCAAAGAGCCCTGGAAAGGATAGTGAGGGGAGTTAAAGAGGTTTTTGAAGTGACCATCTCCACTGTCCAACACCTGTTTTAGTGTCACTGCAGTGTGGCATTTAAAATTGCTGAGACCCCAAATATCCTCTCCTTTATCAGGCAAACAGTGCGATAAGAAAAGCAGTTACCAGCCTGCTACACTGTTGTACCTTTGTACTGTTAAAACGCTGAAATGCTGTTATTATTATAATACATCTTATATTAAGACTGTGGTTTAATATGCTTTAGCTGTTTAGTATTTTAGCTGTTTTTTTATCTAAGTATTTAATCCTTTTGCACATTAAGTAGCTGAATGATTCCAAGAAAACAACATCACATATTCTTGGAAATGATATGTGTTACAATAAAATGAAAACTGTCGTTTTCATTAAATTGGCATTTGACAGTTTTTTTTCTGAATAGAGTAGTCTGATGAAAGACTAAATCTTTTACTCATTCTCCAGTTATGTTTGTCCTTGAAAACTCCACACATAAATTTAAAGGAAAACAACATCCAGACACAGCTCATCCAGTCATGTTGTTTTACTACAGTGCATCAATAGCCTTGGAAACCTGGGCAAAGACATCATCCACGGGCAGTTCAGAGTCCACCTGCAAGTTTAGAAATACAACATCATGAGATTTCTACACTTCCAACATGCTTTATATTTGGTTGGTGTACTCTGTGAATGTCGCACACACCTTCCTCACAATGCCACGGCTCTCATAGAAAGCAATGACTGGCTCAGTTGCTTTGTAATACAAGTCCAAGCGTTTCTTGATGGTCTCTTCATTGTCGTCAGAGCGACCGCTGGTCTCGCCACGCTTCAAGAGCCTCTTAACCATGGTTTCTGCTTTTGCGTCGACGTACAGCAAGAGGCAGGGTTTGCCAATCTAAGGTCAAAGATAGTCTGCTCAATTGTGCTTTCTGAATTCAATGCTGAAGAAATAAATCTTGAGTTTTTCCTACCTTCTTCTCAAACTCCTCTCCCTGCTTGACCTCACGAGGATAGCCATCAATGAGAAAGCCCTTAGAGACATCAGCCTTGGCAATCATGGCATCCTTAATCATGTCCAAGACGGTGTCCTAGAAAGTAGAAGCCAAAGGGGATAAAACCTTCACTATCGCATAGTCGCTTTAACAGAAAATGCATAAGAGATCATTTCAAAGTGTGGATGCTTTCTTACTAGGGGTACAAGCTCCCCTTTCTCCATTATGGCCTGGAGCTGCTTGCCCCTGTCAGAGCCAGAGGCTACCTCAGCTCTCAGCAGATCTCCAGAAGACAAGTGAGTGTAGCCATACTTTGCAACTATCTTCTCACACTGGGTGCCCTTTCCTGAGCCAGGTCCACCTAGGGAGACACAAAACCCAACATGGTAACATGCAAGAAACCAAATAGTAATAAACATTTTGCTGGTGAAATAAGCAAGGACGGGCTCAGAGTGCTCACCCACAACAAAGATGATTTTGGAATCCTTGATTTTGTCTGCAATAAAGCATAAAATATATAAGTTATGAATACATACATAGTCATGATGACTTCCCAACAAATCTGGATTTAATCCACCAAAAAAAAAGAAATTTAGATAAACCTTCTGAGGTGACTGTGGGTGTACTTTCCATTTTATCTTTAGGAACAAAGAGTCTTCTTGTGCAACAAGGTTTTTTTGCTCTGCTTTCCTTGCAGTGGGTTTGTGCTATTACTCAAACTGTGTTGACATGGCAACTGTTGCTACCTAATTATGTTATTCTATCTCTACAGCTCTGATGTAGCCAAGGGTTAAAACAGAACTAAAGGAAATGTCATAAGCCTACTCATTGCAGAAAAAAACCCTCTGAATTTGATTATTTTCATAGATATTATAAAAATGAATGTGTGCATTGAAATGCTATATATATATATATATATATATATATATATATATATATATATATATA